TCCCCCCCCCCGCCGCCGAGTACCGCAGCCTTGCAGCAGAGCCGGGCAAGCTCTGCCTCCCCCTCGCTGGGGCCCTGCTGTTGCACAGCTCAGGTTTCCTCCCCGAGCCTGCAGAGAGCGAGGCGCAGCCCCGGAGCAGGGGGTTCAGGCTCCCGAGCAGCAGATCGCGCTTCTCCCCCTGCCTGTGCCCCTCTCCTCTCACCTGCCTTCCCCGCACTACAAATAACGCGGGAGGGGGGCTGAGGCTGCCCCGGGCTGCGTGCTGAGCAGCAGAGGGGCAGCACCCGGGGACCAGCCCTTTGCAAACCCCTGATAGGCCAGCAAGAACTCAGACGTTTAGGGAAAGGTGACATTCCAGAGAAAAAGAGGGGGAGAAGCAGCCTGTCTGAAAACTGCACTAGTAAAGAAAGGGCAAAGACAGGACAGATGGGTCAGGAGCCAGTTTAATGTCTAGGAAGAACTGTGCAATTAATTTAAGAACTGAAGTTGTTCTCCTCATTTAGGATCACTGGTTCCTGCCTCAGACTGGTGGGCAACAGCCATCAACATAAACTCTATCTCAAGTTGTGGAAAATTGAGGAAATCCACCACCAGAGCTGGAATGTGCCCCCAGTCCCACCCATCCCAGCTCCAGCCCAGCTCCTGCAGCAGGGATGGCACCTGAGCTCTGCAAACTGCCACCATGAAGGAGTGGCAGTGGAAGGTGGCACAAGGTTACCTCCAAACAATGTGTAGGATGTTATCTCCTGGACTACAGAGGGGGAGGCAGGAGGGACAAGCCCCATGGTTCCAGCACAGCTCCCAGGTCCCGGTGCTCAGCAGCACAGTTTCCACTTTGGAGTAAAAAGAGGTGAATAGATTCTGGGCAATTGCATCATAGTGCAACACAAGCGTGACACACAGGTTGTATATTAAAATTTATTGAATTATTGTGTAAGAATTCTCTTTATTAAAATCATTTGGACTCTAAACTGATTATTTACAGACAAAACCTCTCATATCACCAATAGATTCCTACATCTCAGAACAGTATCTACAAACAGTTATTACACTATGTAACAAAATTCAGGTTTGTTTTTTTTTTATTTTTTATTTTTTTTTTTCCCCAAGCTTTTTATATTAATTATTAATTCCAATTTGAGAAAGACAGTACCTCGGGTGCTCTGAGGAGAACTCAAGGTGTGGCAGGGCATAAAATGCAGGTCAGGCCGTACCATAACAGAGAGACACCAAGTCACAAGGCTGGGACAGGGCAGAGTCACCAGGACAGAGGACCAGGAGAAAGACTATCAGAGCAAACACACTGGGTGTTCTGGAAACCAAAAGAGTCATCCTGACAAGAAAGGCACCAAAAAAGCAGCATCTTGCTGCAACCAGGGCACACCCTGGAAAAGAAAGGGCATTTCACCGAGGCAGCAGCATCTGAGAACTCTCGATTTTCATTTAAACAATTACCCACCATTTCTACAATTAAAAAAAAAAAAAAAAAAAAAAAAAGCAGCTTCCAGGTACAACCTAAATTTGCCACCAAACAGATGACAGCAAACACTCTCACATCTACATCACGTGGGTGCCAGCTACTCTTAGTCGTGCCAACAGGGGAGACATTCAAATACACTAATGGGTATTTATCTTAATACTGATCAGCTCTCAGCCTTTCATCCAGACCACAGGGGAAACAAGTTTCTTTCTCTGACGGCAGTACTGAAGAAATCTTACTGTCTGACATTCCACCTTTCTGAGAACACGATGAAAGCAGCAACATCCCCTCCATGCACTTGTGTCCTGCAGAAGGGGAACAGTTGCTGTGGCAGGGCACCCTCAGCTGGTGCCCACAGAACTTGCTACCTGTGAGAAAACAGGA